ATGCAAAAACTGCATGCATCCACGACACCGAACATCATGGACAAAAATGCATTTCTTTATGAACTAGATTGCACATTTGTCAAATGTCCGTGTATAAAAGAAACTCAATCTGTAAAACAGACTAGTGCTTTATAGAAGAGGGTAAGATTATTCATAATAATAATAATAATAAAGCCCATTTTATACATTATACATTTTATTAGTGCCCTCTTTATTGTTTCTGGATTAACTTTCACTAAACATTAATGGGAGATCAGACATTTGTACTATTTTACATCTGCTAAAAAAGTAGGAGGGCCTCCATTCAAACTGTCAGTCCATATTTGTCCAGGAGATCAGGACCGGTATAGGGTTTGGTACAGGATGGGTGTGAGAGGGCAGTCAGATACTAATCCACACACACATAAACTTTAAAGGTAACTCTCTAGTGTGGCTGCAGATAGTGCTTCATAAAACATTTGAGGTTTAATGGGTATTCGAGTGACAACATCCTGTAAATAGCATTAAACTGAAACCCCTCTCAGAGGAACCCTTAACTGGCGCTAAAGAAACAACTAAAACAGGCATGTGGAGAACCTGAGAAAAGATCAATGTGTGTGTCACAGCAAAAGACACAATACACACTTGTTGCATTGCTTTAACAACTTTTAAGCTGTTAGAATTTCATTTAGGATTAACAAAATCAATTTAGAGACATACATGATGCTTTACGGAATGACTGGAATTTAAGAGTGATTTATTTAAGGGCGGATTGACGCGGCTGGACTGGAGTGGCATTTACGGAAATGAGGCAGCGCTCACTGATGTTATTTTGGGAAACAGAGCACTGGACAGTGTTAATGTTAATGTCTAAGATTAATATACTGCCTGATACCCGAATTCACATTTGACACCTTTGAGAGGAACAGGGAAGAAACTTTTGAAGGAGTTCACTCTTTACTAGTATTTACTTCATTTAAATAATATTGAATATACAGTATAAAAAGCATATCTTGAAAGTGTTTGTTTTTGCTTTCAAAATATCTAAAATAAATATTCTTTTTTATTAAAAACTGATGGAACGACTTAGTTTAAGAGGAAATAAATGGTAAAATAAGTTGTTTTGATAATTTTTTTTGGCCTTTTTTGGTCATAATAACATGGTGGCTTTTTTTTTACCAAATACTTTTCACTCAACAGTTACTGAAAAAAGTGATTCATTTACCTTCATAAACTGCAAATGATAAATATTTTTTCTTAAAATGTAAAGTTAGGCCCGTTCACACCAAAAAACATAATGATAACTATATTAGCGTTCACACCAGCGGAGGATATCGTTCCGTTTATTTTAGGCGTGCACTGCATGCAGTTTTGTCATCTGCTGCTTTAAATGCTCAAGCTCTTTAAAGCAGGATGAAATCTGATTGGCTGTCAACGTTTTTATCATTCATTATCTGTGAAAAATCTGTTCTGAAAGTGATTCCAACGATATTGTTTATCTGTGCCGTTATCGTTATAGTTCTGGTGTGGACTCTGCTATTCTTTTATATTTAGAACAATTTTGAGAAAATCTTTATCGTCATAGTTATCGTCCTTGGTGTGAACAGGCCTTATAACTTAATAATATAAAAAATACAGAAAAAAGTCTTAAAGGGGACATATCATGAAAATCAGACTTTTTCCGTGTTTAATTGGGTCGCCGGTTCATCTACTAACCCAGAAAACGTGAAAAGTGACAACCCAGTAACTTTGTTTTGGTAAGCCTTTCTCTGCAAGCATGTCAAAAAATAGGCCGATCAAATTTCGCTCCCCTTCTGACGTAGGAAGGGGAACTTATTATAATATTACCGCCCCTTAATCTACACGTTTCCACCCATGAAAGCCACCATTTGGTTTTCGCAAGCAACAACAGTGTAACCAGTTTTAACCCAATGGCAACCCACTCTGTTGTTGGCTGCACAGAAGAGAACAGAACACTATTCAGAGTCCCAGCCTCAGAGGAGACAAGAGAGCAGTGGATTAATTTTATTTTCAACGGAAGTCGCCCAGAAACAGATGATTCAATGTAACTCCACAACATAAATGTATCCATTCAGGTGCAGTCTAAAAGTTGCAACCTCTTCCTGAGTCTCTCTGTAAGGCTGCACTCCGCTACTGGTGGTTATTTCTGAAATTTTGGATGAGTGAGATTATTCGCGTGTTTTGTTATATGTATCCGAAGCTCGTGTAAAGGATCGGCCGTCTTCTGAACATAGGCGGGGAGCAACAGCTCATTTTCTTAAGTGACACACACAAAAACTGAGCGTTTTCGCCCACAAAGGGGCAAATTTGACAAGCTATAATAAATGATCTGGGTGGTATTTTGAGCTGAAATTTCACAGATATATTCTGGAGACACCATAGATTTATATTACATCTTATGAAAAGGGGCATAATATGTCACCTTTAAAAAGTACTAAACAGAAAAAAAAAGTCTGGTTTCTCAGCTGGTCGCATTTGTCTGGATATCTTGTTGTTATTTTGTTTAAATGACATTAGTATTTGTCATACTACACATAGAGGAACAGTGACCCTTGTCATCTCGTTTGATTTGTCTCTGTGATGAGAAGTTCAGTTAGTCCCTGCAGTGTCCTGAAAGACACATCACTCACACAGGGACAAAACAGAAGCACAAAGGCTGGCATACCTGATGTAGTTGGGAGACAGCTGCAGAGTGGTTAAATGATCACCCATCTAGGCCTGTACAGGGTCATTCAGAGGGGCAGTTCTCAGGGCCCTTGGCATCACATTGCCCTGCTCTACCCTGCCAAGACCACTGTTCCCATCCCACCCAAAAAATGGGACAGGCCAGACTAAAATTAGAACTGTCACCCCTGTGTTTAAGTTCATGGTGCTCCCCTCTCCGGCCCTACTGTAAATATACAATATAACATGACACAGATCGGGAAACCTCTAGAAAAAATGTAAGTGCATCACAAAAACAAAAAAAGACGTAAGTTTTGGGTTTAGAAATGAGTTGGGATCACTTAGAGCTGTGAGGGAATTTATGGAGAGGCATGTGAAGATCGAAACAGTATAAGATTGCAGGCAGTTTGATTTTGATCTATTTATTGCACCAAAATAGTGATATTAAAAAGTCTTTATTAATGATTGACGCATTAATCTCTCCAATCAACAACACAATGCTAAGCTGTATATCGCTCCTCGGCCTTATGGCTAAGATCAAGTGTAGTATCTGTTTATTATCGGTTTAATATCTGATACGTCCCCTATACGGGGACCATATTAAATAGATTTTTGGATCAGGGAATAACCAACAGAGCAGCGCCATCTGCAGACTAAGGAGGGCCACATTCCATCTAAAATCTACTCACATGCGTCCATCCTCCACTCCTTCTTCACTGTGGGAAATCATGGAAATGTGTCGTTCAGTCTCACTTGTTCTGAGATTCTTCGATAATCTGGATTTCATCAATATATTGACTAGTCGAAAAAGTTTTTCTCTTCATCTTGCAAACCACAACGAGGCTTGATGACGGACTACAATGATTCTAAAAGCTGATTGGCTTGTGGTTACCTCTCTCACAATGATTGGTTATATGCAGAAGGAGACACATTTATTTTGATATTGAATAACAAGTACGTACATGAACAATATCACCATGTATAAACCATTTTTAACTAACTACCTAACTAACTGACTTGCTAGAGGGAAAAAACAATATTAGCCTACACAAAACATTAAAGGAGATGCCTGTACTGGCTGTACAATATTATAATATTGTGTTTTCGAGGGCAAGACTGATTCAATATAATTAAACTTATTTTAAAATACTAAAAAGCATGTTTGGTTTTTTTTTTTTTTTTTGGGAAAGAGACAAATATCACTTCATCCCATTGTGCCTTTTTCCAAGTGGTGCTCACTGCAGAGTCAAATGACGTCCAGCGCCACCTCTCTAGACGTCTAAATGGGTGGAGGGATGGAGTTATGGGCAGGGTTAGGGTGTGGTGGGATATTCCAGCTCCACCCATTAGGCCCAAATTACATTCAGATAGGGGGAGCTGGACTTCATCATTTTAGAAGAAGTAAACGAGGTTGCGTCATATGAAAATGCATTCTGATTGGTCAGTTTAGTACTAGGCGCCTTTGTGCTGTGAGCCTCTTCTAATGTCATTGTGATTTGTACAGTGATTAAAACTAGACTGGGCTACCGCGTGAACAATAACAATAATACATTTTACAATATGGATTTGAATTATGCACATTAGTTGGCAAATTGATTTAAACAAAAGTAAACTTTATCAACTTGTTACGACCCTTCTAAATACATTTTGAAGAGATATTAGCTGTGTCCCAATTCAGAGGCTGTGTCCGAAGGCCACGAAGGTCGGACGGTCTAGGCTACAGAGGACTGTTATTGTCACCTAACCGTGACAGCTGCCGTTGATGAGTGGCAGTAACGTTTGTACTGGACTTTTTTAATAGTTATATTAAACAAAACAGGGTTCACAAACTAAAGTCTATATATGTTCACCATGGTCCATTTCTTTATAAAGAGTATAAACTATATATATAATCGCATCTTAGTAAAATATAAGACTTTAACGGTCTTTTTTTTTTTTTTTTTTTTTTTTACATTTGTATCATTAGATATTTTAGCTGGAAACCCAATACTTATACATTTAAAAGTGTAATTAGAAAATTTCTCTCTAAAAAAATCCTGAATGAATTCTGGGGAAGGCAACGCCGCGAAGGATCCATCTGTTGGTGTTGTATCCTTCATTGCACGGGAAACGATGGAAGCATTTGGAGGCCTTCGAATTGGGACAGCCTTCGTCGCGCCGATGTGACGCAATCAACCTTCGAATGCGGCCTTTGAAGGATGCAGCCTCTGAATTGGGACGCAGCTTCAGTCTCCCCTTTCATTATATTCAGCAGTAATAATCATACATTTCAAAACAGCTGAAAATGCATGTCTTTTGACAACATGTTAAAACTGATCTTGATGCCAATCTCATTTTTGGTATTTATTTGCTCTCTCTCTTTTCTCTCTCTGCCTCAGTAGTGCTGCCGTGGAGTGATGGGGGACTGGAGTCTCTTGGGTAATTTTCTAGAGGAGGTGCAGGAGCACTCCACATCAGTGGGGAAGGTCTGGTTAACTGTGCTGTTCATCTTCCGTATCCTTGTTCTGGGTACGGCCGCAGAGTCATCATGGGGCGATGAGCAGTCCGACTTCATGTGCGACACACTACAACCCGGTTGCACGAACGTCTGTTATGACCGAGCTTTCCCTATTGCCCATATCCGCTACTGGGTGCTGCAGATTGTCTTCGTATCAACACCATCCCTCATCTACATGGGCCATGCCATGCACATCGTTCGCATGGAGGAGAAGCGGAAGCAGAGGGAGATAGAGGAGAAGGGTGAGGAGGGAAGAGGAGAGAAGGAGTATTTGGAACACAAAGAGAAAGCCGAATATACAAAGACAAAGTTCCGCCTGAAGGGAGCGCTGCTGCAGACATACGTCATGAGTATTATAATACGCTTGGTCATGGAAGTGACCTTCATTGTGATCCAGTATATGATGTACGGCATCTTCCTGAATGCTCTTTATCCTTGTAACATGTCACCTTGCCCCAACCCTGTGAACTGTTACATGTCCCGTCCAACAGAGAAAAATGTCTTCATTGTGTTCATGCTGGTGGTGGCAGCTGTTTCACTGCTCCTCAGTGTGCTAGAGCTGTATTACCTCGGATATAAACAGTGCAAGCAATGTCTTAGAAAATACGCCGTCAAACATGCTAATGACGTCAAAAGCAAAAACAGCAAAGTTGTTTCTGTTGTCCAACCTGGCAAGACAAGTATTCCGATGGAACTGCCTGAGACTGCTCAGCCACGTCCCTCCACCTGCACCCCACCCCCAGATTTCAACCAGTGCCTAGCAACAAGCCAACGTCCAACATCACCCCCACATCTTCATTCTCACCATCTTCATCACATCCATCAAACCTGCCAGCCTTTCACAAACCACCTGGCCCACCAGCAGAACTCCGTCAACATGGCCACCGAGCGGCATCATCACAGCCACGATGACCTGGATCCTGCTGAGGACTTCCTGCAGATGAGCTACGGAAGCCCTGATGCTCGAGTCCCGGGTGAGATGACACCTAGCGCCCCCTCCACGCCATCCTCCCAACCAGGATTTTCCAGAGACAAGCGCCGGTTTAGCAAGACCAGTGGTACTAGTAGTAATCGGGTCAAACAAAGTGATCTGGCCGTGTAGGTTGGGTTACAGGATGTCCCAGAAGAAGGGAAGCTGGGTGAACTAGCCTTAAGATGAGAGATAGATGTGAGGGGTGTGTATGTTTATGTGCGTATAAGTATGCTTGTGTGTTGGTACTATGAGATGGAATATTTCATTCATTTGGGCTTAAATAACACTAAGAATAAGAGGATAATGGATAATGAGAGGAAGACATGCAGAGAGAGAATCTGTATCAGAGCATTTAATATGGTTTCATTGAAACTGTTGTCGTAATTGCTAAAGTGTATGTAGATTTTTATAGGGTGGGATCAAGTGATCCTGAATAAAAGCCTGTTGATATAACCGAATGAATGGATGGATGGATGAATGGAGGATGAGAGGACTACTGAAATAAATTGGTGACATTTACAAGATAGCACTGGATTGTTTTGCTCAGTGATAAGGTTCATATTTTATGATTAATGTTTTTGTGGTCTGTAATTCAAAACACTCCAATCAAACATGGTTTTTGAGCCAAAAAAGCACAAATGCACTTAAAACATATCTTAAAAACATATCTTAATAAAAAAGGAGAAAAACAACACTTTGAATTTTTTTTAAAGGTTTATACATTTTATTAACAATAACATGACTACAGAACAGAGATTATGTGAGTATGCTACATATTTACTGAAATATATGTGAAATAAATAACACTGAATTCTATGAAGTGTCTTATTTTATAGATTTTATTGCAATCAACCAGGGATGCAAATATGTATGAATTATTAACACATGAGTTATTTGTTACAGTAATGAGGCTGTACTTAGATTTAATATCACAATAACTCTCCAATGATTTTGATTAGGAGTTTGGCATTAAGGTTAATATATTTACAAGATAGCACTGGATATGTATATGTAACAGAGGCAGCTAGTGAGAGGTGAATTGGTGAGTATGACCGGAGGGGTTACATTGGTGCAGTGACCCGGATGGGAGTGAGGTTTAGGGGGTGAGTGTAACGGCGGCTAGCAAGTGAGAGCTGTGCAGGTAAAACCTCACTCCCCTGATATCAAGAGGAGCACTAGTGACTGACGTTAGGGACTGCAGTCTTTAGTGTCCTTAGTGTGCCTGCCTCCCATGCCGGAGAAGATGCTGGTTCGAGTCCTGCTCGGAGAGGGGGCGAATAGGATTGGAGGGGTTACATTGGTGCCATGACCCAGATGGGAGTGAGGTTTAGGGGGTGAGTGTAACGGAGACCAGCTAATGAGAGCACTGCAGGTAAAACCTCACTCCCCTGATGTCAAGAGTCACACTAGCGACTGACGTTAGGCATTATATATTAACCTTATTAACCTGTTAATGCCAAATCCTCAATATTGACTGCTATAGGTATGAAAGTGTCTTGGAAAATCACATCTTTAGATCAAAAAGAAAAGAGAAAGAAGGCTATAGGGCAAACAGATTATTAAAAGATTATTCATTTGAATTTAGCATATGCAATGGCATTACTAGCCCAAAGACAATCATTGTTATTCTTCAAATGGTTTTTTTTTTTAATCACTTTAGCACTTTCATAGATCAGTCTGTAGTCTATAGTCTGTAATATGTACACCTACGTGAAGTAGGCCTATTCCAAATAATCTATAGTCTCACAAAGGGTCATTCAAAATATCTGCCAGAGGGTTTCAGAATTCAAGAAAATAATTCACTGACTATTCTAACATTAGGCCTATTGTTCAGTCTCCTGATGTAGTCTTTTTTATTTTCACAAGTAGCTAGAAACAAGACTTAAATTTATGGCAGATGATTAGAGTTGGTCTAGAGAATCTTTCTTTGACAGTTAATGCTTTATTTCACTTTATTTCTCACATATGATTGCAGTCACTGTGTCTCATTTCCTCTGAACTGTTTGCACTGCAGTAGCCTACACAATAAAGTATCCTACCACTAATTACAAATGCTTGATGGAGGTTTTATTTTGGTGCACATTATAAAATTACAAACCAATCGGGTATTACAGCATCCGTAGCCTATACAGCACACTATTTGGATTTTTTTTTTTTTTGCCCTTTTAATGTAAGGCTATTTTTTATGTAGGCGTTAATCGGCTTGTTGTGGAGCAGGCAGGCTTATTCGCACCCACATAACGAAATGTCATCCCTCTGACTACGGTAGGCTATGTTATAATATGTCTGTGTGATTGTGTAATATTTTACATCCTGTATACATGCTAGTTGTGTTAAGACAGTTTCATTTCAACACTGTCCCCAAAAAGTATTTGGACACAACATAGATTTGCTGTTTGTTATGCTACGTTGTATGTTACGTCGTTCTGCATAGGAACATTACGCCAGTAAATTACTTCTGCATGGATAAGTATGGGAAATGTAGTTTTACAGCATTGTGTTTCTGCTGTTTCTCAGAATAAATAGGTAGACTGTGAAACTGCATATCCCAGAATGCACCTCACCGTTAGCCGGTGTAATGCAACGTTCAGTCTTCCTGAAACTGAAAGGAATGAGTGCAATTCAAAACCAGTGGAATTAACTTGCCGCGTCTGAAACCTTCAGGTTGGTGATATTTAAAAAGCACTTTTTCTAGTGCACCTACATGTTTTTACTTTACTTAATAGATTTAAACTAGTGCATGATATTTGACAGTTTGCAAGAGCGTATGAAACTTGGTGATATGACAGGCAGCAGCATTACTGAATGATACAGTTGCTGTTTGAATCACTTATGGAAATGTAATGCTGACACGTTTTGATATAGCCTATTTATATATATTACACAAAAACAAAATAAATATGCAACCTACAGCTGTATACAATGTAGAATAATGTATTCAACGTGATAAATTAAATGTAATGTTATTAATAAGTATAAATACGACCTGTAAAGCAGAAAACAATTGCAGTTGAGCGGATCTGTATGACACAAGTGTAGTTGACACATTCTAACCATAACCCCACATTTAAAAACATCAACAGCATTTTAGTTTAAAATGTATTTGATATTATATATCATAAGTGGTCACCTTTCTTTAAGATTTTAACCACATTTTAGGCTTCTCTAAGTTCGTTTCAAATGCTCCTGTGTTGTGACCAATGAATTTTAGAAGACAAAACATTCCATATAGTCTTTCAACTATTGAGGTTATACAACTATATGCATTATTTATTAGAAAAGAATATGTAAAGTGCTGTTCAGTTTTCTGGAGTAGCATGTATAACAACACAGGACATGTCAACTTCTCAAAAATGTCAAGTCAAGTGTTCATGTCTCTTTCAGGTGCATCATGTGGGCACGTGTGGGTCTGATGGGTTCAGTGGCCCTCGGGTCAACGTTTTGGTTTCAAAAGAATAAGGCTGAACCCTCTCCATACGAGCTTAAATTAATTCAAGTTTTATTCCGACATGGGGCGAGGACGCCGCTGAAATCTATACCAGATGTGTTGGAGGTAAGAAAGCTGATTAGTGTCACTTCAATTCCCAAAGTTGCAATGTGGCGTGATCAGTTATTTTTGGGGGGTTTAAAAAACAATAATGTTAAACATAGATGAAACTTTTGAATAATAGGAATAATAGTTTAAAGATAATAAAAATAATAATGCAAAAGAAGGTGGAACAAAAAAGAGAAGAGAATGCACAAATGTGGCATTATTCTTAATTGCTTAAATGTCTCAGAATCATTGTCAGCATCAGTCTTAACAGCATGCTTTTTCACTCAGTGACAGTGGCACTGTCATATGTCTGTAATAGTCTACATGTTGATGCCAATTATATCCAGAATGACGCATGGTTTCTGCACCCCTAGGCACAATGGGTCCCTGAGCTACTTGAAGCGCCCGCTCACACAGAAATAGACTATACGGTTACAGACCTGAAGGGGGGACCCAGACCCCCAGCTCCTGTGGAGGACAGCTACAGGGCCAAAATATTGACGGTGGGTTTGTGTTTATGCATATCTGGCACTTTCTTATACAATGGAAACTGTGTTTTGCACACAGGATTTGAAAGGGTCCAGCTTATGGTTTGCCTTCTGAATGGTAACATTAGTTTAAAAAGGGCCACAAATCTTTCTAGTTAATAGGTTTGGCTATTTTAGTGTGTTCAGAGCAGGCAAATATTAATGCTACTCCATATGTTCACATTCTAGAGCAGGGATGGCAATGTCGGCCCTGGAGTCCTAATGTCCTGCAGAGTTTAGCTCCAAGCCTAATCACACCTGAACAAGCTAATCAATGTCTTCAGGATCACTAAGGCTACAGGACATGCAGGTTAGCTTTTATCAGGGTTGGAGCTTAATTCTGCAGGACAGCAGCACTCCAGGACTGATGTTGCCCATCCCTGTTCTAGAGAATTGTGTGCATCCAGCTTTGTGGTAACAGTTTGGCGAGGGTCCTTTTTTGCTCCACCGTGACAATGCCCCTGTGCACAAAGCAAGGTCAGAAAAAGAAAAAGGTTTATTGAGTCTGGTGTAGAAGAACTTGACTGACCTGCAACAAAGCTCAGACCTGAATGGGAGCAAATTTCTGCAGGCACATTCTAACGTATAATAAAAGCTTTCTATGAAGAGTAGCAAATGAAAGACCAAATGGTTTTGAAATGAAATGCTCAGCAAACTGTTTGGATGTCCACATAGTTTTGGGCATATAGTGTCATTTTCCGAGATGTAGCGTTTTAGAGTGGATGTTTGGAATGAAGTGGATTGATGGTAAATGGCAGTGTCAGACATCATGTAAACATTAGCATACCTAAATGTTTAGATGGAAATTGTGCCAGATTGTCATATTAAAAAAAAAAAATGACACTGACTTTGGCTCCTGCTTCCATAGGGTGGAACTTATCCAGGTCAGCTGACCACGGTGGGCATGCAACAGCTGTACGATCTTGGAGTGAAGTTACGAAAGAAATACATACAGGAAGAGCCCTTTCTTACACCTTCTTTCAACCCTAAAGAAGTTTAGTGAGTGCTATTGACGATTCTTTATTGAAATATTTATATTGTTTGGCACTATTTGTGCTACTGACAAAAATGACACCTTAAATTGTATCATATTGAGGAGAAAAAAACAGTAACACTTTACAGTAAGGTTTCATTTGTTAACATTAGTTAACTACATTAATTAACAAACTTTAATTTTTAAACTTTAACTTTAATTAAATATTAAAATAAAAAATTTAATCTATTCATATTATTTAATGGCTCTGAGCTTACATGAACTAACAATGAAAAGTTGTATTTGTATTAACATTAACAAAGTAATAAATACTGTAACAAATGAATTGCTCATGGTTAGTAAAAGGATTAACTAACATTAACTAATAGACTAAAAAATGTAATAAATTATGAATATGTTTATGGCTCTGAATTGCATTAAGCTAAATGAGTAAGAGGGACTATCTGTCATTGATTTACAGCATTCGCTCTACCAACATTGTACGCACCATTGAGTCTGCTAAGTGTTTGGTGGCAGGACTGTTCCAACAGGAACAAGCAGGTAAGGTGGCAGCTCAGCTACGCTTTTTTGTGTGGTTTGCTTGAGTAATGGATGAGATGAGCTTTACATACTCCTGTGTTTGCCTTTCCGTGTTTGATTTTCTCCCACTCTAAGGTGTTGTGCCCATCCTCACTGATAAGGCAGAGAAAGAAGTCCTCTATCCCAACTATCATGGATGCAAGCTGCTCAAGCTGCATATGGGGTAAAACCTGCTTTATTTTGATAATAATAATGATGATAATAAACAAACTTCATATAACCATTCATACTGAATTATAGCTCACAATGGAAAGTTAATTGGGAAATATTATTATTAGTTGGGCAATAATTATAATGATAATAATAATAATAAAATACATTTAAATTAAAAAATGATTCAAATTCCAAGAATTTGAAGAAGTACTTATTCCTAAATGTTCCTAAATATAATTTAACCTTCTTTATTTTCTTTAATTATTTGTTTATTTATTGAGGTTTGTACTTTTATTTTGTTAAAAAATAATCTAATAATAACAATATACTTTATTATCAGAAAACATTAGACCTTTGCTTTGTTGAAATACTCTACCGTCCAGAAGTTTGGGGTTGGTAAGATTTGTTTATGTTTTTGAAAGAAGTCTTTTATGTTCACCAAGGCTGCATTTATTTGATCAAAAGTATAGTACAACAATAATATTGTGATATTACAATTTAAAGTAACTGTTTTATGTTTTAAAATGAATTCAAATTTATTCCTGCGGTGGCAAAACTGAATTTTCAGCATCATTACTCCAGTCTTCAGTGTCACATGATCCTCCAGAAATCATGCTAATATTCTGATTTGCTGCTCAGTTGAACATCAGTTGTGCTTCTTAATATTTGTGGAAACTGATTCTTTGATTAATTGAGTTCAAACGGACAGCATTTATTTGAAATAGAAGTCTTTTGTAAAATGATGTCTTTACTGTCACTTTTCATCAATCATGCTAGCTAAATAAAAATAAAAATTTCTTAAAAAAAAAAAAAAAACTTCTCCTGACCCCAAACTTTTGAATAGTAGTGTAAATGCCCAATGTTGGTTTGTGACTGGTTTAACATCATGTGTCTGTGATTGACTGTGGTGCATCAAATGTAGTCATCGTTGGGCACAATCATCCACGCTTCCTGACATTGCTGCAGACCTCCAGAGCATCCAGAGCTCCTTGGGTGTTGATCCTCATCAACATATCGACTTCATCCTCATAAGAGATGACATGGTGGCCAGAGAGGTAAAGTGCCCCCTGCTGATACATTCTACAGATGCATCTGCATTTGGCTTTGTTTCTCAAATACGGTACTGTTATATTATTGATCCTAGACCCATGGCCTGCCGCTTCCTACAGCTCTAGAGCACTGGAGGAGTATCGTAGAGCAGAGAGCTGTAGATATGATCTGTCATATCTATGAGCCCAGTAAGAGGTGAGGGGCCAATGAATCCTGCTGTAGATTCTTGAGAAGAGAATGTATGAAGAAGTTGCTTATGGTTTAAGGTCTCTGTAAATGTTTATTTGCTTTTGTTTGTCCTCAGGCAGAATTTACAGATGTGCGTGGGTCCTCTTTTCCACATACTTCTAACCAACATTGAGGACAAAATTCAAGGGACAACTTCTAATCCAGACAGGTGTCTTCATTTTGAACAGCTTATCTTTTCTTTTATCACTTGACTTCTTTTAATGTTTTCGTTAAAACACCTGCAATCCATATTTAAAAATTAAACTTGCAATGCAATGACATTAAAGCTTAAGTGTCCAAAACTTTCTCTACCTGCTATTTCCAGACAGTAAATGTCAGTTACAAAACTTGAGAGGTGCTGCCTCACAGTGGTCAAACTCAGAGATCACGTGTGTAAAAGTCCTCTTGAAAACAAGATCTTTTGCTGTTTTTTTGTTGTTGATACAGAAAGTTGTTCCTGTACTCTGTGCATGACACCACCCTGATGCCATGTCTCATGGCTTTGGGGGTTTTTGACATGAAATGGCCACCGTATGCAGCTGACATCACACTGGAGCTGTACCAGCACCGTCAGACTAACCAGCACTATGTTAAAGTATCTTACATTGGCCAGGTAAGACCATTCACACAGTAATAATCAGGAGGTAAAATGCTTTTTTAAAAGCATTTTAATAAGTTTTAAAAGCTTGAGGTTGGTATGATTTTTTGAAAGAAGTCTCTTATGTTCATCAAGGCTGTATTTATTTGATTACAAATACAGTAAAACAGTAATATTGTCAAGCATTATAACAATTTAAAGTAACTGTTTTCTGTTTTAATAACTTTAAAATATAATGTATTCCTGTGATGGCAAAGTTGAATTTTCAGCAGTCATTACTCGTCTTCAGTGTCAAATGATCCTGTTGATTTGGTGCATATTTCTTATCAATGTTGAAAACATTTTTTGTGGAAACACTTTACAATAAGGTTCATTAGTTAACTACATTAGTTAACATTAACTAAGAATGAACAATACTTTTTCAGCATTTGTTAATCTTAATTTCAACATTTACTAATACTTTATTCAAATCTTGTTAACATTAGTTAATGCACTGTGAACTAACATGAACAAACAATGAACAGCTGGATTTGTATTAACTAACGTTAACAAAGATTAACAAATACAGTAACAAATGTGTTGCTCATGGTTAGTTCATGTTAGATAATACATTAACTAATGTTTAATAAATGAACCTTATTGTAAAGTGTTACCGAAACTGTGATACATTTTAAGGATACTTTGATGAATAGGAAGAACAGCATTTATTTTGAATAGCATTGTCATTAAAACACTGTACATTTGCAATAACTTGTTGCTTGTAATTAAGCATTTCTTTGCTTTACTTGTAAATCTGGCTTGGTCTTTTTGTGTTGTCTATCCATCCACATTTGAAGCTGTTATTGATTATACCTACAGGACCAAAAAATCCCAGGCTGCAGTGATGTCTACTGCCCACTGCACGAATTTAAGGCGGCAATGGCTGTTCACACTCTACCTGATGATTCTTACCATGCTCTCTGCAACAGTGCAGATGACCATCCCAAAGTCTGAACTCTCACTAACTCTCAACTCTGGACTTTGACCCAAAAAAACAAATGTTTGGTTCTGGGCTGTAGAATCCTCTGGAGCTCGGGTCTCTTCTACATGGATTCAAGTGTTTATAATAACAAAAGAGCAGTATCAGAAGTCTTATGTTTAAATTCTGTCATGTCCGTTCTTTTAAAGGAAATGGATCATGACCGAATGTAACAAATGAGAAAATGTTTATCTTTCTGCAGTGTACAAGTTGGTAAACAAATTCATTCACAGGCTGTCGTAATATTTAGCATACATTTCACAGCAAAAATATTGATAATGTGTGTGACTATTCAAACGGGTGTTTGTGTGTAATATCTTCAGTAGGTGCCTTCATTTCAGTCATCTGAAACTGCTACAGATTTTGCTGCAACCTCACATTCTTTTAACAATGACATTTGATGTTTTAACATCAATTTAAGTGCTGTTCAAGGTGATATGCAAGTCAATAGGGTGAAACTTTTCTTACATACTCACTACTGATATGCATATTAAATTGTGATATAATAAAAAAAAACATGTTCTACATTTTATAGATTTTTGCTTTGTGCATTCACTAGTGTAACAAACCAAAATACCTGAAAAAGCACACATGAAGAAAAGTGTAAACTTTAAAATGCAAAATTTATTTATATGGCTATTTGGTCGTTCTACATTTTAAATTTGTGTTTTCAGACAAAACACCTCAACATTTAAAACTTCTTCATTAAAGTCCATTGCATTGTATGTTAAAGAAGGATATGCATTAAAAATTCAGACAAGGAATTATCAAAGGAGAGAGGGAAGGAGAAAACAAATCACATTAGACATTTTGGGATTCCCTTATTTAAAAGATACAGTCACTGTCTCATTTTGAAAAGCTGTAGTCAAACAAATGTTTTCACAAAATTGTATATACCCAAAAAATGGCATTTCACCAATGCAGGTTAACCATTTTGTGATTTCTACAATATCTCTTAACTCCATTTACCCAACCTTCATTTAAAAATTCCTGACTAATAGTTTTTTCTAAAACATTGCCAGACAACCACACATTTAGGGCAGTCCACTGGCTCCACTCCATCATTCAAGTACATCCCAGTCCATCGCATCTTTCTTAGGTTTCAAAACAAAGCTAACATTAAGTGCACTCAAGATTATGCCATTTATAAAAAAAATAATCATAATAACAATAGAAATAACAACTGTAGTAATTACATTAGTAATAAATTTAAAGCATTCTACACAATTCTCATTATACATATATCACCTTGACCATCAGGCTCTGCCCCCCTGAGAAAAACACCATGGGTTCAAGTTCTGGTTTAACATCTGTATTAATTGCAAAGCAACCTCAGCTTAGTAACTTAAATAACAACAATTATTGTGAGGAAAAGGACCATTTAAACCATCATTACATTATTTACATTAATAAATTCAACCTCATTGTCTTACATCACAGACCCTTGGTATTTACAGCGTTAATATTTAAAGAAACAAAGCTTTGCTCCTCTTCATTTATTCCTGTGGCTTTTCACCTAAAATTTTAAGACAAATTAAAATACTCATAAAAACAAACAAACAATGGAAATCAACAGAAATATAGAAATGTCTGCATATTACAGACTGACCTCACTGAGCAGCAATGCACTGGTGGCATTTGTAGAGCTTGGGATTATGTGTCTTTATGTGATTCCTCACATTTTTCTGTCTGAAGAAAGACTTGCTGCACAACTGCAAGAGAGAATTAAATGTGAAAATAGGAAGAAACCAGATATAGAAGTACAATGCCAGAGTGGGATAGGAAAACTGTTAAATGACTGTGGTGCTTTTTTATTGTGGTCTTTTGTCAATTTTATTAAGCAAAGAGTAGACTGAAATGATGTGACCAAGAAAAAAATGGAATTAAGAAATGTTGCGAGCCAGATTCAAAGCTGCCCTGCTCAGTCAATACGCTGGACGTGCAAACCGCTTTGTCACAGCTCTGATGGTACTTTTTTTAGAATAAGGGCAATTAATCAGATCTACCCCACCTTTTATTATAGCTTTGTACAGTAGACAGGCACATTGCTGGGAAGGGAGCACCTTCAGGATCTCAGGAGACATGATACATACCGGGCAGGGCCAGTGTTTGCCTTCAATGTGCTTGATCCGGTGCATAATAAGGGCATCACAGTCCCTGTAGGTGGCTCTGCACTGCAGGCAAGCATGTGCTCCACTGGAGGCCTGACCGTGAGGACTCTTCTGCTGTTTCAGACGTGCCCTTCGGATGGATTCCAGTAGGATGGAACGGCGGCTGCTCAGAGGAAGCAGCTTATTTACATTCTATGAAGACAAAACAGATAAATATGGTTTTTTTGTAATTTTGGCAAGTGTCATTTTATGTTTATTACCAGATAAAATTTAGTATTTAGTTTCATTCTTTTCAACGATTGACATTTGAGTACTACTTCCCCAACCAAGACTGCATACAAGTTTACAAAACAGTTACGTAACAGGCCTTTGTCATAAGAATAAACATCACCAAATGCTAGCATAAGAAAAACTTTTATCACCTTTGTCTTTGTAGGTTCTTTCTTGACTTTACAGCTCCTCTTGCTGACTTGGGGGCGTCTAGAAAATCGGGTAACCCGTGACCCTTGGGACACACTGCTTTCATCCTTCTCTGTCTTCACTTGAATAGCAATTCTTTGGGAAAAAGGTGAGTGCCTGTTTCCAAGTCCTGACCAGTGAGGCCCATTTAGACCAGTCCGATCTGGCATAATCCTGGCCCTCACCCGATCTCTTTTCCCCATGTCAGGTGATGAATCGCAATGGGAACTACCTCCATGAGAGAGAGACCGAGTCAGGTAGATGTCCATGCTCTCCTCCTCCCGTTTGATGCCACTTGGCTGCCGACAGAACCCAAAGAGGAAGCCTTGATCCAACAATTTGACGGGTGGTTTGCTCTGACGCTTGCCCAGGTCTGAGGAATCACTGGTTGGGAATGGCTGGGTTAAGGGCAACGGGTCAGCTGGCTCTTCCTTTATCGTTTTGTAAAGGGGATGGCTGTGAAGATGCTGATGGTTGGAAGCATCCCAGTTCATGACGGCATACTGAACTTCAGGACTGTCCTTTCTTTTTGAATGTTCCTTCATTTTTCTGTTCTCCTTCACCTGTGTTCCTCTTTCAGTTCTGCTGTGCTTTGCTTGTGGAATTCCTGTAGCATGGCTGCATTTTGTTTTGCTTTCTATTTGTTTTGAACTCTTAGGTTTGACTGTTGGGGGACGCCCAGGTTTGTGCCGCTTTGTGTGTTGTGAATTTGTTGTGGCTACCCTTACTGTGCGATCTGCTGGTGGTCGACCCCTACGTCCTGGTGCTTTAGGAGGAGTTGCCTGGGGGCTGCAGACAGTATTGCGACGGTGAATAGGTTGCAGGATGGCACTGTCCGAAGATTCTTGTTTTATCCTGAGCATAGTGCTTTTTGAAGGGTGAGATGCATTGTGTGCTGGTACTCTACCTCTTCGAGCAGGTTGGGAAGGTGTTTTATCTTGATTTTTGTGGTGACGTCTGAGCGTTCGATCGATTGCACTGGAGTCTGTGTGCAGCAATGACCTGCTACGTGTAGCTCTAACAATTGGCTCCACAGGATCATGCCTTTTCCTTTTGGACCTTTCTTGGTTCCAAGATTCTTGGAGTTCTACTTTCACTGGTCTGTTCAGCAAGTCCATTCTGCTCATGTCACAGAGAGACAGAGAAGGACTAACGGCAGCAAGCACCCCTAAACTGGTTCCGAATCCCAATGGGACGCCTTGTGCACGAGGTTTTCGGCGGGCTGTGAGTGAATAATCACTGACTTTTAACTTCCTAAGTCGTTTTTTCTGCCCCCAACCAGAGAGTTCTTCTGGACCAGGCACCAAGGATTTCCTCTGCAAGCCAAGGAAGCTAAGAAGACGGTATTTCTCCTGAGCACGGGGGCTATGCACCTCATCCTGAGGGACTTTGTTACATACCTTCTCTTCCACATACTCCTCCTTTACCTTTACTGAGGTATCATGGGTCAAAGAAATTGCCTGAGATTGGGATGGAGTCACTGAGAATTCACACTGGGGCTTGTATGCCCGGTAAGAAGAGGACTTCCTCTTTCTCTTAGTGGAGAGGTCAATTTTGGGGAGGAGTCTGCGCAGAGCAAGTGCAGCGCCAGGTGAAGAACGAAGCAGACGGCGTGATGGAGAGGAAGAACGAGTAGAGGTGCAAGGAGATGTTGAGATGACCGAAGATGTGGGGTGGGAGGACGTTTTTTTCTTGCAGGATGGAGATTTAAAGTCCATGAGCTTCATTCTGCGATTTGGGCTGCATGGAAAGCCATTTTCCTCAACCTGAAAACTGGACAGGAACTGAGGATTTGAGGTTTCTGTTTCAGGTTCATCTGTCACCTTATTAACAATCTGCTCACTGTACTGTGCTTGGATGTTCCAGGAAGACCCAGAGCCTTCTCCTTCCTTATCCTCTCTCTTCCTTTTGAGTCCCACTTTCCCTCCTGAAGCTGAGGAGTGGTCTCTCCTGAAAGGTCCAGGTATTGATTTATTTGGTTCACCAGGAGTACTGTGCATTCTGGAATGTAACTGACAAGTCTCTCGCTCCCTTTTGATAGCCGAGCAAGCCTCAAGGGCAGGCCACATGCGTAGATGGCGGGCCATGGCACAAACCTCCGTCAAGATGTCCAGATTCAGATTGAGGGTGGAAGTGTAAGAGAACTCCAGTAAAGCAAGCAGGCTCTGCTCACTGAAATCTATATGAGGAACCATAAATGATAATTGATTAATGCCCTGAAGGATACATTAAAAGATATAAGTGTGTTGAAATAGGATAATGACAGTCTAAAGGTTAAGGATCTGCTGCTGGAATGAGATTAACAATACATTATATTAGTATATTTTGTATAATTAGTACAGAAAATTCCATGAAAATATATTCTTTCCTATGAATCCAGTCCTGGAAATCACAATTTTAACATTCCCTATTATTCAAGGTTTCCTATGACTGTGGGAACCCAGTAACAAGTCAACTTTAAACAACCAAAAGCATAATCAGAGAAGATTACAATGGCTCACCTTAATGAATAAAATATGCTCCACAATTTCAATATTGCCCATTTTAAATGAATACAAGTGTGAACAAACACTTATTTTGAAACTGGTTTAACTTGAATATATACTGCACCCATACCTGTGAGGTCAACATGTGACTGGGCATCAGTGGCTGAGTCCATTTCAGTAAATAACTCCTGGAAGTACTCGCTCACCGCAGCAAGGACTGCTTTGTGGGCGACGAAACACTGGCCATCACCAGTTTTCAGCGTGATGTCACAGAAGAGCCCTGCTTCCCGTTGGCTATTGAGTTTGGTTAAGACTTGATGACTATGTGATTCCACCATCCTGGAGATAAGTCCCACATCAGAACACTAGAGACATAGACAAAGTGAAAGTAAGATAAAGTCAAAACAGTAATCTTCTTGACTAAGATGAATACTGGGATAAATATGTTTAAAAAGCCATTCTTACCACTGATCTCT